TACAGTCGGTTGAATGCTACTGATTCAGTAAATCTGAATGAAAAACTTCTAGAACATTCTCAAAAACAGAAAAGAGAAGACAAGTTGTTAAAATCCAGGCATGGTTGTCATAGCAACAAAACGGTCAAAAACCGAACAAAGCTCGACCGGAACGACAACGATTCCGATTCAAACTTTTTGCCTATAAAAAACTCGTTGAATCAAAACACTTTTGTCAATTTCACGAGAGCAGTTCAGTCGGTCAATTTAATTTTCAAAAAAGACGAAATTTCAACAGCGATGGAGAGCGAAAAAACGACAAAGAAGATGGTGCGGATCAAAGATTGTAGGACACAGGAGGAAAGAGAAAAACTGACGGAGGAAGAAATAACGGAAACTACTTTTCATAGAACATGCCGGATAAGGAGAGGAACGCTGGACAGATCGGGGTCAGACAGTTTGGACGAAGATAACTTTGCTGCACGAGCAGTAACGTGGGACCAAGATGCAGTGGAGACGAAAAACTTGATATCCATATGGGATCTAGTTAGTCAGGATAAGGAGCTTACGGGAAATATTTAAGAGCTGGAGGCGGCAACTCAGATGATCACTAGTAGTCCGATGATCACTAGCCAAACCCAGCTGGACGACTCATTAGCAGATATGAGCAATGTTGGGAACTTAAGTTTGTCTAAATTATTTGACAAAACGCTGTTGGCCGAACTCATCTCTGAAGATGTGTGGATGGATCAATTACGTCGGGTGATAGAGCGGAAGGACCGGGCAGGATTTGAGCTCATGGGCCCGTATACGAGCCCATTGTGGAATCAACTTTCGGTAGTAGAGGACTGCATTCTAGTAGACAATCGGTTAGCAGTCCCGATACAACTTCGACCAGCAGTCATGAAGCAAATTCATCGAGGCCATCCGGGGCAAAAGACTATGTGTCAAACTATTTGTGGTGGCCCCACATGCCTACGGATATTGTAAATCTCGCGGAGGAGTGTAGAGAATGTACACGTTATGGTAAGAATGCAAAATATATTTTACCAAGAAATTCTTCGCAACCACTGCCGCTGTTGTCGCAGCCCGGGCAGGAGGTTCAGTTAGATTACGCGGGACCCTTAGAAGATTGTAAGGGGAAGAAAATCTACTTGTTAACAGCGATTGATCGTTATTGAAAATTTCCTTCGGTTAAGGTAACGAAATCAACGGGGGGAAAATCTACTATCCGACCAGTTCTCGGGGTTCAAAGGAAAAGCGATGAAAAAATTCTGCCTCAAAAACAACAAAAGTTTTGTCCGGTGGGAGACCATCGTGGTTGTGGTTTAGTTGAAAGAACAATACAAACTATAAAAAAGCGTTTGGGGGTGATGCTACTTGAAGAGAATGTAAAATCGATTACATTATGTCTTAGCACAATAATTCGGGACATGCGGTGGATTAAACTGAAAACCATTCAGAAATCACCGTTTGAAGCACATTTTGGTAGATTACCAAAAACGGAGCTTAAGATTATGCGAGATAAATTCGTAGAATTTTCTGATCATTTAGATAAACAGCACCAGGGGAGATCGGCACTAATCGCTAGTCAGTTAAAGAAGAGGATTGATCAATCTCTGGATTCACTCAAAATTGTAAAGAAGGGTCAGAAGAGTCGGAATGTCAGCCCTCTTTTCAAACAAGAGAATATGTTTGCACAGGAGAAGAATTGAGCAAGAACTCTCCCCACACTGTTGGAAGCGAACGCCCACTGGAATGCAGAACGACGTAGATACGACGCACACAATCTACAACAACTAGTGGATGCAACTAGCACTATCGACCCGGAATTACGCAAAGAGCTCCTATATTCATGGGAGAAGGGGTTTGTCGAAGATAAACCGAAGGGGTCGGAGTGAAATAGTCATAATCTCATACGCAGGGATGAGACGCGCAAAAGTGGGGCGGCGTTGACCAAACCCTTCAGAGGAAAAGTAGCAACCGAATCGCCGAAAACTGTAACAACAGCTGCAGGAGCAGTCTATCGTAAAAGTGATTTGGCGAAGGTGGCGAGTCCTCCAAAGAATACAGCTAAGGAAGGATGTGCCAAAAGGAAAAGGCAAAAAGCCCACTGGAAAAACCGAAGAGCAAGCACCAAAAGAAAGATGCTGAACAAAACGACGATACGGAGTCTGAGGACGAAGACCAAAACATATCGAGTGAACAGATAAAGGACCTTTTTCAGGATAGCGAGACTGTTGTCACTTCTCGGGAAACACCAACCGGTAGAGGTCTTAATTTGGCAGTGAAGCGACCGAAGCCAAATCTCGGGGGTCCAATGACAGTGGGACCCAAAACGCAAGTCAAAATGAGTTATCGGTCAAGTCGAAAGGCAAATCGGACAAGAAGAAAGCTGCAGTAACAGCAGAAGAGGTCCGAACGTCAAAATAATTGGAAACGGTTGTTCCACCAGACCAGCCAAGCAGTTCGGGGGGTTCGGCCAATTCTAAAGCTAAGCCATCGAAGAAACGTATTACTAGGGACACTTCCCCTAGTTCAATTCTAAATGCCTTTCAAAATCAGGATATTGCAACAGAGGAATGGCAAAATCTCGCAGACCAAGTCTTGACAAGAGGTTTGCAAAGGACAGCGGAGAAAATCGCAAAATCTAGAGCTGAGAATCAAACAGAGACAACATGCGAGCATTGTTCTCCGTCCGGGGTCTCGGATGATTCGATTGAGGATGAACAGACTGGAACGAGTGTGAGGCGTAGTAAGCGAGCCACGAAAAACCAAGGGCCTAAAAGATTGGGCAGTCCAGTGAATCCTTCGGTGAAGTATTTTAGTACAGACGAGGAGGATGCAGACCTAAACGAAATGGCTTTGGAGCAGTACAGATATAGTTTGGCTAATGTGAAGACGGATAAGAACAGGCCGATGGAAACTCGACTGAAGCTTCTTGAGCGTCACCTATTTCGAAAGAAATTTGGATATGATGCATTAAACACGACGCATCCATGGAAGAATCAGTGGAAAGTGCCTCTGGAAATTAAAAAACCAGCAAAATGAAAAGAAGAAGAAAGGAAAACTATTCATCAAAACTTTCATCACCAATGGGATCACAAAACTGAGTAGAAAACTCGTATTATTGTTATTTAGTTATAAAATTTTATATTTATTTGATAAAATTTTCTTGGTCTTTGGGGGAATGTGGTACTGCGTTAGCAGTAGGTAACCTTGAGGACAGTTTGTTAGCTACTGCACCTGCAGTAATCATATATGTTAACTATATATCATTATGCTATTATTATGCAAGAAGTGGTCAAGGCTATTCGGTGGTGCTAAAATCTTAGAGTTGAATTAGTCGGTGTACCATACTTCAGTATGCTTAGCAGTAACTAACTTCAGCTACGGAAACTTCGATAAACTCAACTAAGAAAGTTAAATTATCAGTATTTATCTCTACTTTTATTCCAACACGCTAGACACAGTTTGGGAATATCACAGCAGTAAACAAATAGTGAATAAGTTGAACAACTTTTATAGACTAGCTACGAAGGTCTAATACAAGGTCTTTTTCGGAACCGAAAAAAAATAACTGAAGTTCTTCTGAAACATAAGGCAAAAAATGCGTAATCGGAAATTTTCAGGCAGCCAGTAAGCATAATTACTGCAAATTTTTGGAGCATTAATGAACACCATATAAAATTAAAGATCATCAATTTTCCTTAGTTTTATTCAAACTATTGATAAATCAATCAACTTTTTCTAACATAGTTTTGAAACTGGTTGCCAATTTAAATATTAGTTTTTTCTCGTCAATTTTGTTCAAATGGCAGCCATGCACATCCATTTTTTAGTTTGTCGGCTGCCGTCTCAGAGGTGTTTGTTGTACATAAAGAGTTTGTTAATTATTTTTAGTTCATATCACTTGTGACGTAACTTTTCTTCAGCTTCGCATCCTTGTGTACACTTTTGCGCACCAAATTTTGAGCTTCCCGGTTATGAGAACCATTTTGCGACTTTCGCGACTTAAAATTGTGCCCGAGCTATGCAATTTGTGCCTGAAAGCGGTAAACGGCTCACTTTTTAAGGTCTGGAATCAGTCGCAGACCTCAAATTTGACTTTGCGGACCTCCAGCCGCTTGAGATTGACATTCGCCGACCCTGATAAGCATGAAAATTTTGTTGCTCGAACAAAAATATGGTCGTCTGTCCATCATAAATCTGCATTTAAGTTTAATATAGACTAGCTCTTGAAAATCAGTTTGTATTTACGACCATGTGATATTTTCTTCATTCAAAATGCACTTAGCACCAGCACGATACTGATTGAATTCACAGCAGGTGTTCAAAAGTGCTCTTAATCTTCGGCTCAAAAAATGTGCAGAGCATTACGATGGCACTTTAACGACGCAGATTTAATCGGTTTATTACTTTGACGCTTTTGAGTGAAATTATGTTATTTTTATAATAAAAACTTATTCTTAGGCCTTTCTGTCGGCTATTTTCTATAAACAAGTATTCGCCAACACTCATTTTCCGAATTTGAATTATTTTTAGTTTGAGCTAACGTATATTTATAGAAAAAATCTCTTGATAACAATTGAATTAACTCAATTAATTACCGCAGAACTAGTTGAAAACGTAAGTCACACCTTAATTCCGTCTACTTTCGATCTGAGGAAAAATGGTGGAATCCCTCATACGCGAAGGACCGAATGCGCGAAAATAAAAACCAGCCAATCAGATTTCAGTAATCTAAAATTTGGAAAGAAAGTAAACATTTAAATATAAAAACGGCAGAAATATGCAGAACTTTCAAATAGTCACTGACCGCCGCCGAATTGGAACAAATTTTATTTTTCAAGAGTTTCGTTTTGAAAAGCAAAATTTTGTTTCATTTAATTCATTTTAATTGAATGGCTATTGGTTCTTTTTAAAAATTGACTTTCGGCTAATTTTGTTTTCGGTCCTTCGCTCACCAGTTTTTTTAATTTTTCAAAATTTCGTATGGCGTTTTTAATTTTTGATTTCAGGCGAACTCAGAGACGAAATGGGGGAAACGACACACCAGCAGGCTGTGGTGAGACACCCGATGAACGAGTTGAATTCTGTGTTCACGACAGACAGCGAGTTAGAGTCGCAGGGAAACAACTCCATGTCACGTGAGACCGCATCGCAAGGAATCTTTTCCCTGACTAATTAAACACATGTTAGAAACGAGTGCAGTGCACTGTAGTTTTTAATGACGATAAAATGGCTTTATGAAAGTTTTTGATAAAATGGCTTTATGAAAGTTTTGATAAAATGGCTTTATGAAAGTTTTTGATAAAAATGGTTTTATGAAAAATTTGGATAAAACTTGAGAACTATTTTGACTTGAGAGTGATTTGGGAACGCTCCTTTCTTAAGAGTTCGACTTTTTTGGCCGACATGTCCTAAGATTTTGGTAAGAAGGGCCCTGCCTCATATTTAAAACAAAAAAGGTGAAGACAGAATTTCTCGTACAAAACTTCTACAAAAGAGTCAGCTATGTAAAATGAAGCTGTAGCACGTTGTCGCTTGAAATTAGCTGCGGTGTCCTCATTTTACGCAAAAAAGTCTTTCTTAGTACATTGGGGTAGATGACTCATTTGAAAAAGGGGTTGCACTTGAAGCCCACTCTAATTAAGGTCTAAATCAACGCCAAAAAGAAACAATGCAGAATAAAAAAAACTTTTCAGATTGAAACTATTCCAGAAAACGTCAGTAGAAAGAATAATTAGAAGAAAAAATAAATTTATGTTAGAACTAGTTTCGAAAATGAGCTGAAAACATTCCTTGATCAGACTTGTCGCAAAACTCATCGCCCGATAAAGAATTGAATAAAAAGCGTGTGAGACTGTGTCGGAAGCAGACGGGGAAATTGAACACGCGCTTCAAGAACATCAGCCAGAAAAACGCCAGACTGGTGAAGGACATCTTCGTGACAGTGGTGGACCTGCAATGGCGATACCTCATATTCATTTCAACTCTATGTCAGTTATCGATCTACATGCTACTTTTATTTCACTTCATTCACTTCATTCGTTACGAGATCTTTAGGCGTTGCAGACCACAAACTCACCCGTGAAATAATTATTTTCCTTAAGAAGTTATCGTCAGAGGGACCTCGTATCGTAAAAAAAAAACTTTTCTACCGAAGACTTTAAACAGTTTTAATGAAACAATGACTGAGCAAATTTTTCATGACCTTTTCCGTCTCAATCACTCTGTCTCATTCACTTCATTGTCTTTTTCGCTCATTCTCTTGGTTATCCTTTCCGTCGAATTCTTTTTTTCTAACTCACTGTTTTAGCATTTTTCCTGACGTGGACTGGGTTTGGGTTGGTGTACTACGCATTGATGTGGATCACAGACGACTTCGACAATCAGGACGCCTCCCAGAAGTGTTTCGCCAATATCAAGGACTTCCCAGGGGCACTGCTCTTCTCACTCGAGACACAGACCACTATAGGCTAGTCTCTCATACTTCTGGCAAAAAATAGACAACACCTTTTTCTTTTTCTTTGTTTTTTTTTGTTTTTTTACATTAACTCTCCTTTTTTCAATTTAACATATGATTGTAAAGATTTATTTTTTTTACAACGTCTACGATTCAAATTGAATAATTAAGTGCCGAAAGCAAATGAACACGAAGAATAAAGCTTAAAACACACGGGCGGATTGAGGGGAGTCACTTTTTCTTCCAAGCATTCGACTCACTCGCCGCCAAAAGACCTTCTTTGATAAAATTACTTCCATCCATTCTCTGCTGGACGACCTCAATTTTTTTTAAAAGTGCCTTCCAAAAAGTGACCAAAAACGAGACTTTTGACCTGTTTTTTTTTATTAAATTTGGCGCATAAAATTTAACTAAGTAGGGTCATTAAAATGTTTTGGGAGAGTTCGAAACTAAATTTGGCCGACTAAACAAAAGGTCAACAAAAATTTTATTAAAAAAACTTGAGAAAATTCTAGAACTGCCCCTGTTAAGGTATCCTCGTGCCCTTTTCGTGTCTTCTTCAAATTTCGTCAAAGGTATAAATGTGAAAAATTGTCGTAGTTGTTTTTTGTTAATGTGTATGAGCAGCTATTACTTCTGATCATAGCTCGTTTCATAATTAAAGACAATATCTTTGGAATTTCACTTTAAGGAAAGCGTTAGGAGATTTAAAATTATTTTCAAAGGTATGAATGTGAAAAATTGTTGTAGTTGTTTTTTGTTAATGTGTATGAGCAGCTATTACTTCTGATCATAGCTCGTTTCATAATTAAAGACAATATCTTTGGAATTTCAATTTTAGGAAAGCGTTAGGAGATTTAAAACTAATTTCAAAGATATGAATGTGAAAAATTGTCCTAGTTGTTTTTTGTTAATGTGTATGAGCAGCTATTACTTCTGATCATAGCTCGTTTCATAATTAAAGACAATATCTTTGGAATTTCAATTTTAGGAAAGCGTTAGGAGATTTAAAACTAATTTCAAAGATATGAATGTGAAAAATTGTCGTAGTTGTTTTTTGTTAATGTGTATGAGCAGCTATTACTTCTGATCATAGCTCGTTTCATAATTAAAGACAATATCTTTGGAATTTCAATTTTAGGAAAGCGTTAGGAGATTTAAAACTAATTTCAAAGATATGAATGTGAAAAATTGTCCTAGTTGTTTTTTGTTAATGTGTATGAGCAGCTATTACTTCTGATCATAGCTCGTTTCATAATTAAAGACAATATCTTTGGAATTTCAATTTTAGGAAAGCGTTAGGAGATTTAAAACTAATTTCAAAGATATGAATGTGAAAAATTGTCGTAGTTGTTTTTTTTGTTAATGTGTATGAGCAGCTATTACTTCTGATCATAGCTCGTTTCATAATTAAAGACAATATCTTTGGAATTTGAATTTTAGGAAAGCGTTAGGAGATTTAAAACTAATTTCAAAGATATGAATGTGAAAAATTGTCCTAGTTGTTTTTTGTTAATGTGTATGAGCAGCTATTACTTCTGATCATAGCTCGTTTCATAATTAAAAACAATATCTTTGGAATTTCAATTTTAGGAAAGTGTTAGGAGATTTAAAACTAATTTCAAAGATATGAATGTGAAAAATTGGCGTAGTTGTTTTTTGTTAATGTGTATGAGCAGCTATTACTTCTGATCATAGCTCGTTTCATAATTAAAGACAATATCTTTGGAATTTCAATTTTAGGAAAGCGTTAGGAGATTTAAAACTAATTTCAAAGATATGAATGTGAAAAATTGGCGTAGTTGTTTTTTGTTAATGTGTATGAGCAGCTATTACTTCTGATCATAGCTCGTTTCATAATTAAAGACAATATCTTTGGAATTTCAATTTTAGGAAAGCGTTAGGAGATTTAAAACTAATTTCAAAGATATGAATGTGAAAAATTGTCGTAGTTGTTTTTTGTTAATGTGTATGAGCAGCTATTACTTCTGATCATAGCTCGTTTCATAATTAAAGACAATATCTTTGGAATTTCAATTTTAGGAAAGCGTTAGGAGATTTAAAACTAATTTCAAAGATATGAATGTGAAAAATTGGCGTAGTTGTTTTTTGTTAATGTGTATGAGCAGCTATTACTTCTGATCATAGCTCGTTTCATAATTAAAGACAATATCTTTGGAATTTCAATTTTAGGAAAGCGTTAGGAGATTTAAAACTAATTTCAAAGATATGAATGTGAAAAATTGTCGTAGTTGTTTTTTGTTAATGTGTATGAGCAGCTATTACTTCTGATCATAGCTCGTTTCATAATTAAAGACAATACCTTTGCAGTTTCAATTTCAGGAAATCGTTAGGAGATTTAAAACGCTTAATAAAAAATCACTTTTGCTTTCTATTTAACTGAAAATAATCTTATAAAGCTTCGAAATAAGTTTTTGTTCTGGTAGATGAAGGGATAATTTGTTGCAGGCTACGGCTACCGGACCCTGAGTGAGAACTGTCCCCTGCCCATCATAGTGTTATGCATCCACTCCATCTTCAGCGTCTTCTTCGAGTCAGTCCTCATCGCCATGACTCTGGCCAAGATCGTCAGGTCCAACAAGCGCAAGTCCACCATCGTATTCTCAAAGTCAGTTCCGCTTTATAATCATTGTTCGCTGTTTAAGAATAAAGGTTGCTTATAAAGATACAACAAAAAAACTTTTCTAACTCCAATGAAAAAAGCGTAGATAAGGCGATTGTTGAAAAAACAGCCCACACCAAAATTATTTCCAGTCATTTAGTGACCAGGTCAGAACAATAGAAATAACAATTGCCTATAAGTCTCAATCAGTGTCCGAATCTCTTTCGAATAAATAATGATAATCATAATGTATTTTTTTTGATCATACAGCTCTTGAAATGTCACCATTAAGCCAGCGGCCTGTTTTACTTTGCCACGAGAGAACAATACTTATTTTTCAATATCAGAGGGTGATCATGGCAAAAAAATGAAGACTAATTGGGCTAAGTTTTCCTTGTGTGATCTTAGGTACGCCTGCATTGCAATGTACAATAGCCAACTGTGCTTCATGTGCAGACTGGGAGACTTAAGAGGCAACAGCAATATGTTCGAGGCTCATGTGAGGATGTACTTTGTCCATGAGACCCACACCCAGGAGGGAGAGGTGATTCCGGTCACATTCACAGACATGGATGTTGGATTCGACCAAGGTGAGTCATCTTGGTCCAGTTAATCATAACTTGACTGAGCCAGAGCCAATGTCAAACTTTTTTATTGTATCAAACTGATTACGTCTTGGCATAATTGAAAATTAATATACCTGGATAAAATATAACTTCAGGGCAGAAAATCTTGTTAAATATCTCAAAAATGTTACACAGATCCTAAATAAATTTAACTATCAACGAACACGGAAGCTACTGGAATCAAGATGTTGCCAGTTGAACACGCAAATACTTCAACTTCTGGGAATATATTTCAATCATTGAACAGTTCGTTTGCTCACGTCGGACTAGTTTTTTTCTAGCCGGATGTTTGTACTGATAGGTCGAGACAGACTGATGGTGATCACTCCTATGATCATCCGACACGTGATCAACTGCAAGTCCCCCCTCTACCACATATCGGCACACAATCTCCCCTCCCAGTCGTTTGAGGTGCTGCTGGTGCTGGAGGGAAACATAGAACAGATCGGAGTGACGGCCCAGTGCAGGACCTCGTACACGCCAGACGAGATATACTGGGGACACTACTTTCAGTTAGAGCTCACATTTTGACACCTACCCCCCCTCTCTCTACACACACCTGCATAAACATACATGCACACATCTATTATATCTGTCACATATTAACCTGTAAAAAGATCAAATGAGATAGAAAACATATATATTTTGTAGTTAAAATTTTTTAACCTTGCGATAAGCGAGAGTTCTGCAACCGGGCACTAGACTTTCTTCCCATTGAAAAATTTGTTCACTAACAATAGAACGTTAGATCTTTCTTACGTGATGGCATGCTCAATTTACGTTGTTTTGAAGCTGTTCGTTTTTTGTTCCGACTTTCGAAGAAAACGGAATATCTATGCTTGGGGTGGTATAATTTTTATTCGTTCAAATTTAAAATTTTTATACCCCATTGAAGTCATCAACTCCTGAAACCAAATATTTAAAAATATATATTTTAATTTCGACTATTTTTTGCGAAGTTATGAGAGTTTGAAAATGGACAATCTGGTCATGCTCTGGACTAATTTATGAGCTCTTTGAAGATTTTATTCATAATGCTGACGGCGTAACACGAGTTTCCTGTGCGTGGTGAATTATTCCCCACAACAAAATCGTTCCAAATTAAATTGAGGCTAGCTAATTGGTCGTTTAACTTTCGTACGATTCAAGTTTTCACATTTGATCTTTGATAATGTCCAAAATTTACAGTTTTCCAACATTTTCTATTCCCAAAAACTGTTTGATTTGGATTAAGGGCAGTCGGAAAATTAAGGGCTTTGCCCTGTATACGAGCAGCAGTCTTGTTCTCGCTTATGTTTTTTCGGCTTAAACGGTTTAATTTTATTCTATATCTTTTCAGTCAATTATATTGCGGCAGTTAAGAGTATGATTTTTGAAGGGAACTGTAAAAGTTGATTTGAGAATCTTAGTAGCTCAAAATTTTTAAAGACAATCTTTTTTTTGCTAACAAAATACCTAAGTGTTTTTAGCGTAGTTGCTGCTCGGTATTTTTTCTGAGTAATAATATAACTCTCTTGATTTTATTGTGTTTTTATGACATGTGATCTCACATTAAACATCTTTCAAGACAAACAAATAAAATTTTTGTAAATGCAGTTTTTTTCCATTTTGGTTTTTGTCTGAATTTCTAGCTGCCGTGATAGCTTCTTGTTGTATTGCTAGGCACCAGCGGATTTAGGGGCTGCGGGGGCACTGACGCCTCCCTCCTTCAGGAATTCGACCCCCTGCCGACCCAAAGGGTCCCACTTTGTACTATTTTGAGATATCCATTGATGCTGACGGACCCTAAAACTTTCAAAGGGCGCCCATATGTACATTGTTTAAAGCTAATGGTTTGCCTTTTTTCGTAACGCACTTTTTTTCAAACTTTTGGTTGTAGGAAACTTCGGCTTATTGTTCCAATACGACGATCAACGATCATAATCCGCTATTAGCTCCCAAACTTCGGTGATGCATACAAAAAACTATTAAGTATTTTTTGAAGAAAAAACGTTTATACATAGAAGAAGTTATTAGAGAACAAAATGGTAGTAGCCATTTATTACTTATTTAGTTATTTTTTTTGCTATAAGCTATATTTTTAGGTCTTTAAAGTTGTTTGTAAAATTTTAAGTCTCGCAAATCAGAGTTTCCGTTTATCGGTGATCTCACGTTGTAAATTTTCAAAGCATACAGTTTTGCCTTCTGATTGGAAACAGTCGGTTGCAATTATCAACCTCGTGATCTAGTTTTCATATTTAAAACCATAGAACTAGAGATAGAATAGTTAGAGTAATTTCGATTCCAGTTTATTGTTCCGACTTTTGAAAAAATTGAGGGAGGATTATTTATGCTTGTTTGAGGATATATGTGATTGTAGGGTTTTGTTTTCATTCAAACTACTTTCAAAATGAAAGTTGTAGAGTGGTTTCGAAAATTGAATCTCCGTGATTGTAAGCGGTTTTGTTACCCAGTATACTAAATTCTCTTTAATTCGTCGTTACCTGCACGATTGTAACTTTGAAGACTTTTTCTATGATAAAAAAGCGTAACACTAATTATTATACCTGCACACAATGATGTTTCGGTTTGAAATCAGAAAAGCTGAGTTGTTAATATCATCTTTTTTAGGTATCAAACACTTAAGATTTGATATTGACAGTTCGAAAGTTATTATTATTTTTTAAAATTTCAAGTTTTTGGCGCTTTTGCAGTTTTCCATCCCGTTATAAATCGCAACAAAAAGTTGTTTAAAATTTGTTCATACGATAATTTACACGTAAGTACGTAAGTAACACTTGTTAACATTCTGCTCATTTGTTCAACTTGACATGTTATATTGAATTACCTTGTTCACTTGTTCACGCTGAAGTTTTATTAAAGTTTAGAACATCAAACGTCATTTTAAATAGATATTTGAAAACTTAGTTTTACAAAAAAAAAAACAAGCGGAAACCTGGAAAAGAGCCAACTTTTTTCTGACTAAAAATAAAAGGAGACCTATAAAAGGGCTGTCAATCAAGGATTCGCTTTGACATACGAGTAGTCTTGTTCTGTAATATACATTTTTTCAAGAATATGTATGCAAACAATGTTTTGACAAACACCAGATGACCATACCGGAAGAACTCTTTTAACAATCAACTTTTGGGACAAATCAAAGGCTAAAAGAGTTCTATCAGCACAATGCATGTCCACTTGAATCCGATGAAAATACACGAGATGAAAATGCACCACGCGAGAAAATACACGAGATATTTTCTCATGTAGCGTATTCTTTTCATGTTTTTTTCACAACCACAGTTGGACTTCCATTCTCATTTAGGTGAAAAAAGAAACAATAATATGACAGTTTTTGCAGAAAATCCCTTTACATTCATGGCAAATCATAAATCTGCGGAAACAAAAAAAGTATTGAATCATTGCAAAAAATTGTCAGACTGACCCAAAAGACTTCTTTTGGAACTTTTTTTTGGGTGCAACCTGATTATTTTTGAAACTAACCAATCTTAATGCGTACCACTTAACTCATAATTAGAGTTGTGAAGTTTTCAAGTTAAAACGCCTGCCTTCTGACCGAGTTGTTGATCTCATGTAACATCTGCAATTCGCTATTTTATACTTGGATCTATTGAGACTAAAAAAATTAGAAGGGAGACTACGTGTTGGCATTTGAGAAAGCACGAACCCCTCGGTTCGAAAACAAACCGTGACATGCAGATGGTGTATCGAATCTGAAAAGCTCTATCAGACGGGTTATCCTTCGGAATCATATCAAAACATCACAAAAAAAAACAGTAGTAATTGTTGAGACTTAAAAGCTGTACTATTTTGTCGAAAAATTTTTAATAACAAGATTAGTTACAGGCGTATATTCTAACCTAATTTCTGTATTTTTCTTGAAACTCCTAAGTAATTTCAGGAACTGCATTGAGCGACGCAGCACACATTACATGGTGAACTACGCCTTGTTCGACTCTGTTTACCAAGGAGAAAGCCAGCAGCTCTGTTCTGTGTCTGAAAAAGAAGGAAATGACAGCTCGGAGACACCCCAGGAAGATACCGTTGTCAAAACCTCATTCTGATTTTCATTCAGTTTCCTTTGCAGAGTAGTTTAATTTTTGCTGACTTCATATTTTACTAATCAAAAGACAGCAAAGCTTGAAATAAGAGATCTTGAAATAAATAGCTTGAAATAGAAGGGCTTTGACAATTTTTTTAGGTCGACCAAATTGATTTTAACTCAATAACTATGAAGACCCCATTTTGACCAAAATTTCTGCGCAGCAGGCGAACTTTTGGAAAAAAAAACATGCCAAAAATGCGTTTTTAGGCCCTTTTTGGAAAAATTTTACCAAAAAAAAATGCTATTTTCGGCGCGCGCTCCCCCTCAAAAACTAGCCGAAGGCGCCCTCAGAACTTTTAAGTGTCTGTCAGCCAAAACTGGATGTCCTAAAAATAGTACCAAGGGGGCCCTTGGGGTCGGCAGTGGGTCGAATCCCTGAAGGGGGTGTTATCCCTCCACCCAGGGGCGGATCTACGATTTTCGCGGGGGGGGGGGGGGGGGGGGTGGAAGGTGATTTTCAAAAAATTTGTCGAAAATTTTGTCGACTTCCTTAGGTCGATCAAATAGATTTTCCGAGTTCTACCAAATCACTAAAAAGACCCTTTTTGCCAAACTTTGCACTGCAGGTAAAATTTTGAAACAAAAACAGGCCAAAAAAGGCGTTTTTAGGCTTTTATTCGACAGTTTTCACCAAAAAATTGTGTTTTACCTCAAAAATAGTACACATTGGCGCCAAAGGTGTCTTTAGAAAAATTGCAGGGTCAGCCAGCCAAATTTAGAGGTGTGATAGTAGTATCAAAGGGGGACCGTTTGGGTAGTCAGGGGTCGAATCCCTGAAAAAAAAGCGTCCACAACCCCCCCCCCCCCTCCCAAATCCACTACTGCGTCCACCATCCCTCTAAGTCCGTCCCTGATAACACTATAGCAAAAACTAGCTTGTCGGTACTATTTCAAATTCATCCAGAACGGATGGTTGTTATGCAAGATCAAAGAGTGCTATTTTTTATCATAGGAAAAAAATCATGATATTTTTTTGCCTTAATACGCATATTTCACGCATATTTTACCGATTAAATAAAATATAAATGGCATATGTGCCCGTTGCTTATGTGGGATCTGGTTTCATAATTAAATTGCTTTTTGTTATGCTTCAAAAAAAATTCGTTTATGCCCAATGTTCATCGATAGAACCAATGGAAAAGCGGATGTTTAAAATAACCAGTGACCTAAAGGATAATGAACCAAAAACACCCGAGTACCATGTGAACTTTTTAAAAAAAAAAAAAAAAAATTTTTATTCATTATAAATCTCAGTTTTAGCACATGAACTGCTTCAATTATTTTTCAAAAAAGCACCTATTTCAAAATTGCCCGTTGAATATCAGCCTTATTGTATAACAATATAAGCATTTTTTCAAGCTATTTTTCGAACTAAGTCATTTGTAAGGAAAATTATTATTCATCTGAAAATACGACTGAATGAGCTTAAAAATGATTTGTTTTTCCCGTTAATAAGACGTTCTTTTGTGGCACCGGACTTTGTGTAAAACAAATGCCCGAATGTAAAGTTGCTTCCCTCTTTCAAAGGACAGAACAACAAAAAAAATTGCTCTGCATTAAGCCCAAAAAATTTGAACTGAAATATGCAAGACACAGTTGAAAAAAATGGGCCGAACAAACTAAAGCTTCTTTAAAAATAAGCTAAAAATTAGCTAACATAACAGAATAAGCAATGTAAAGACGGTTCTAAAAGCAGTCATATCGGTGCAGTCAAAAAAAGTTGCAAAATCTAGAGTGTTACATTTCCCCTTAATTAGTCTTGGACAGTTTTTGGTTAAACTTTTTTCATAAATTTAAGTTTGATATTTTTGAACTCATTTTTTTTCCTCCTTTAAGAGCAGTATTAATTTAAAATGCTTACAATTGGAGTCATATAGGCGTTTAATACGACCAATTAGATCGTCTCAAATCAATTTGGAACTTTTCTGAGAGCCAGGCGATTTCGCATCGTGAGAACAAAAACGCGTTTACGTTTTCACCATGATGAAAAATTTTTCAAAACGCTCGTAAATTATTCCATAACATGGTCAAATTGCCAAATTCCAAACTCTTTTTATCAAAAATTTTATCAAAATGATTTGAGGTGATTTTTTTTGTTTGCATTCAGGGGCTCCATCATTTTATTGGGGTACAAATCACTTTTGATAAGGCTGTAATTTCCATCTCAAGAATAATTATTAAATTACTTTCTCCGAAGGTCGGAACAATAAAGTGCGACGTTTTCAAAATTGACCAGAAACGGAACTAATCGGACCTTTTTTTTCAAAAAAAAACTTAACAATTTCTTGATAATCGCTTGAAAAAACAACACTCTCGACTACCGTTTCTTAAAGTCAGAAATCAGAAACAAGATTGATTTTTTTGGGTTCACTACAAGTTCAAAACAAAATCAACTAAGAAAATACGTTTTTTAATATCAAAGTAAAGCATCGGCTTTGAAAATAGAAAACGAACAGTAAAAAATGCTTGTGTCACGGCAAATCTATGAAAATTACTACTACTGTTTAAAGTCGGCAAAAAACTATTGTGAAAATTGATAAAATGATTTACAAAATAAAAAAAAGTTTTGATTTTTTAAAATTTTATTTATTATCCCCAAGAGCATAGTGATTTTTTGAGCTTTGTTACGCATTCTTAAATGCAAATCGTCAAAATCCATTCATTTTGAAACAGTTTATAAGCCAAACAAGACTGCTCCTATAACAGGGCAAATCCCTGAACGTTCCGACTGGCCCTTAATTCATATCGAGTTTGGGAAAAGAAAATATTAAAAACCTATACATTTTCGACAATATCAAAGTGTAAAATTTTGAGTCGTACGAAAGTAATACGACCCGTTAGCTAGCCTCAATTCAATTTGGAACAATTTTGCTGTGCATGAGAATTCGCCGCGCGTGAACAATTCGCGTTACGCTCTCAGCTAAATGAATAAACTCTTCATAGTGCGTATAATTTAGTCCAGAACATTTTGGCAATTTTCAAACCCCCAGAACTTTTTTAAAAAATAATCGGAGGTATAATATCTTTTTAAATTTTTTGTTGAAAATCATTATTTCGATCGGTGAAAATTGACTGAATAAAAAAACCAAACCGAGCACAAACATTCCGTTTTCTTCGAAAGTCGGAACAATAGATAGCTTTTTAAGCCAAATAAATAGCTGCTTCAATAGCTCAAAATATCGCGCGTTAATTATCCTTAATTGGTCAACTTAAACAGAAAATTTCACAGGTAAAATATATTTTTAGTTTTGAGGTCAGGACATCAATACATTTCAGATAAATTTTTTAAAAAGCCGTCCAAAATGGCTAGTTAAAAAGTCAAATTGGAAAAAAATATGCCACCCCGAGCACAGTTCGCCATTTCGATACTTTCTTTGAAAATTGGAACAATCAAACCGAAACGTCTGCCTTATTTTACAAAAAAATACTATTTTAGCTAATTTTAGGTGCTGTGTTAAGCCACCGTCACTTTGAGATGAAAAAACTAAACAGGCGCCTCAATAGAAAGAACGTCACTTAAATTCATGACGTGATTTTTACTTTTTAAGCCTTAAGTTTGAACTGCATCACAAAATCGGAATGAGCATGACGTTTTTTTTTAATTGTTAATTATTTTTTTACGCTTCAACGATTTGTTCCCTTCTATTGATAGTTTCTACCAAAAATATACATTTTATGGACGTCATTTTATGGTGCCTAGGTGTCGCTGTTTTTTGAATTTATGTAAATTCAGATACATTCCAAATTTCGTTAACAGACAAAAGAATACTCAACTAAGGACTATTATAAAAAAGAATCTGAAGCTAATTTATTTATATCAATTGATTGTGAACTTTGCGCTTCTTTCAGTATTCGATCGATTGTTCATTTGCAGGTTGAACCTTTAAAGAAATGAAAACTTGCTGGCGAAAATTTTCCATTTTTTGTTTAAAAAGTTCGTTTGTAAAAAAGAGCTTTATAGTCTGGCGTGCCAAAAACAAACAACCTAGGACAGATTCAAACGGTCTATTTTTCGGGAAACTTTGGATTATCTCTAATCAAATGGAGAGCTTTTCTGGTACTTTGGAAAAATGCTGATTAAAAATGCAACAAAGCTTTCAGGCCTTATTAAGAAAGATTGCTCATTTTACGGCACAATTCAACCAAAAATTATGAATTATATATTAAAATGGAAAAACTGAACTTTATGAAACTAAATTAAATGATCATAAAAAGGTGGAGCCGATTGCAGTGACACTCCATGTCAGTATAAACCAAAACATACCTCGCTTAGATTTTAAAAAAAAGATTTTTCGCCAGTGAAGTTCGCTAAACTCTTCCTGTTTGAAAACCTCAATTTAATTTTAGTAATGAAGTTCGATAACAGAGCCATTTTTCTCATCATCAGTTTTTTGACTATTTTAAATGGGTCAACAGCAGCTCACTTTCGTGGAACGTGGTCACCCAATACACCAGCTCAGGTTAGTAAGCAGTTATTTACTTTCCTCGCCGACATTACCCCCAAACCACGTCAAAATTAGACGTTGAAAACGACAACATGAAATGAAAATGAAGGTTTTGCCGCTCGTTTTTTTTATCCAGACATTTGACTGTAGAAAAAGGTTCGTAAAATGAATTAAATTTCACAGTCATAAATTTTTTCCGATCGAATTTCATCAAGCAGCAACTTATTGACCACGAACTAGTTCAAACAACCAATAGTTTAATTGACAACCACAATTTCGTGCGTGTGAATTTTCATTATGTTAATCTATTGCTAAGAGATATGCAAAACTAGCCAATAGTTTAGGCTCGTTCCGCTATCAAAGTCAAAGATGCTTCAAAAATTGAAACAAGAGTTGACGAATACTGTGCATAAAGTGCAGAAAGTTCCGACCTCATATGAAAATGATGTGTTGAAAAAATTTCAATAATAAGATGTTTCTTTTTTTTTCAAATTTGTGTTCAAACGTTTTTCAAATTTTTTTCTATTCCAGCTTCAATTTTTTTCTAATTTGTGTGTAACTTTTGTGCTTGGCGTGATAAAAAAAATCAAAGCTTGTGACATTGGTAATTTAGTCATGTTCAGCTGTGTTTCTCGATAAACAAAAATCGTAAATCAAAAAACTTTTGTCTCAATTTTTGAACAAGTTTTTTTGCCAAAAAGGCGCAAAATCCATTTTGAAATTTTTCAAAAGCATTAATGAAAATTTTTTGCGCTTTTATAAAACCTACACTAGCTTAAATAATAGCTGGTAATTCTTACGAAAAATAGAAAACTCGAATATAATTCATTGTGACACTGAAAAAAAAAACGTTTTAGTTTTTTAAGTATATTCAGTCCAAGACTGAAAGTGCTTTAATGTGATATAGCGATGGACTCAATGTTTATATTGTTTTTGGGTACCTGATTTTGCCTACAAAAACACTTTCAATTTCTGCCCATTTTCAGTGGTGGAACTGTAAGGACAAAAGGTGTAGGTGAGGAAGTAACGCGTTGAGTCCAGTTTTTATTTTTTTTTCTGCAGTTAATAAACAATAACATCACCAAAAGTCGTAGAGGAGACGTTGGTATCACCTTAAAGCTTCAACGATGGTGAAACAAAAAAAATTATCAGTTCCGAGAAAAAATTAATGAGAAAAAACTCGACCTGAAACAATTGCTTTTTAATTTGGATTCGCTAGATAAATGTTCTAAGTTGAGAGTGGTCTTATCGTCTAATATGAAAAAAATGCCACTGAAAGATGGTATTTATCTACTTAGTTCTTTCGCACTCATGCTTTTGGCACTAACCGCTGGTTTTAATTTATTAGATCTCAATTTTAAAGTTTGAAACGTATAGTTTAACATACACACTCCAATCTGCAGACATGGATTTCGATTGCTAAGCATGCAGCCTTTAAACTTGAACAACGCAAGTTATGCACAAAAAAAATGAATTTCGAAACTTTACTAGCAGCAGCTTTACTACTTTAAAACAATCCCACAATATTTGTTTTTTTTTAGTTTTTTGAATTTGAATAGAAATAAAGCTTGCCTAATTTTTTTAAAATCAATATGTAAGTACGTGTTTAATACTACCCGTCTAATGAAAAAAACTGGTTACGGTTCTTAGAAATGACTGAAACCACATTTTTTGTTATCACAAATTGAAAACAGTTACTTCTAAAAACGATTACTATTATATTCATAAAAATTTGAATAAAATTTTAGATGTTTTAAAGCACGAAATTCAAATTACAAATGTTTAATAATTTGCTTATAACCTTTTGTTTTTTTTTTGGTTTGAGCCCAAACATATGCATACACCAGCTATTTATTATTTGATTAGAAATTTGAAAATCAAGATTTTTATGTTAAATATCCCTGAACCGTTGTTCAGTAATTTTTGATATACAACATTCAATATTTTATAGGCAACTGAAAACGGGCTGGATAGTTCCACGGCGTTCTCGCAATGAGATTTCGTTTGGTTGTAATTGTAGTAACTTTTACAATGATTGGAATCTAATTTGCAAACAATTTATAATGATTATTATTATATTTTAGTTAAGCTGAAAAAAAGCATATTCAAGACCTCCAAGTTTGATTCCTACTATCATAAAAACTCTGCAAAAAATCGCAAGGTCGACAAAAATTTTTTAGAAGTGAATACATCTATAACGTTTATCATAACAAAAGCTTAAAATTGAAAAATATTTCAGTTATGTAGAAATTCTTAGTAGGAGAAACATTTAATTTAATAAATGCACAGTTTTTGGGGTGTGAAGGTGAGCTGCAACCCGCACTCACAAACTTGAGAATGACAAATTTAGATAATAAATCAATTTAGAATGGGTTTAAACGGATTTTTACGGTTAAAAAAAATCAAATTTTTAGCCTTTAAAACCTATTTAAATCAATTCAAATGGATTTTTGCAAGGTAGTAAAAAACTATTGCTTTTGTTTCACAACTTGAGCAAAAATTTGAACTCAAAACAAAATTTCATCAAGCTAATGAAAAGAAATGTCTATCGGTGAACATTGCTATTGATTGCAAACTATTGATTTTAATGAAATCCGTTTTGAGTTTTGCATTTTTACAGGTTCGCGCAGTGATTCAAAGTAAATTTATTCAAAAATTCCTTGAGTTTTGCATTTTTAGGGGTTACCGCAGTCATTCAAAGTAAATTTATTCAAAATTTCCTCATATCTCAATTTCATTATCAACGCTATGGGCGCTATTTTGTTAGTCAAATGAACATTTAATCGACAAAACTCAATTTAGATCAAACAATTTTCTAAGCAGAATTTTTAATTATTTTTGAACTCATAGTTTTAATTCAGGTCATATATCAACACGAAATGTCAATTGAAAAGCATACATTATAATTTAAATTTATTTATTATTGTTTGCTGGTCTAGAAAAACAGAATATAATCTATAGAAAATGCTTTACAAAAAAAAAACTAGAAATCGGTTCGAATCGAATTAAAAAAATCTTTTTTAATCAATTGATTGTTACCTAAATCCGTATGTAAAAGAAATTTAAAAAATGCCAAAAGTAGATTTCTATCTATTTAGATCAATTGAAATGGACTTTGGACTTTTGAGCTACTTTTTGAGAAATACGAAGGAAAAAACTCAAATGTCAAATGATTTAAAATGACTGAGAAGCAAAAAATATTCAGATTGTTTTTTCTCGCTATTTCGAAAAACTTACGGAATTTTATCATTGCAGTCCAACTGAAGATTGGAAAGACTTCGTAAAAATGCTTTCGTATGGAAAGGCTTCGTAAAAAGTGGGAACTGATTTTGCTTGGAAACAAATGAAATATCCCAACTGAGATCGATGTTCTCGAGATCCAAGCAACAACGTCCTTTTTAGATATTTTGAACAAAATTGAGAATGCAGCAAAACTCATGAGCAAATAGCAAAAATGTAGATAAATATTTACCATCAAAATGATGTTTTTAGAACGACCAACCGAAATGCTACAACACACCATATATCTGCTTCCTCATGCAACACTACTATAAAAGAATTGACCCTGAATATGGAAATGTGCAGCCCTGGAACTTCGGGCACCAAAAGAGATCTTTCGACACCCTCAAGGACTTCAGTAACAGTTTGATCAGCAGAGTGAGGAAAGAGAGACTGCTGCAGTAATTTATCCTAAGAGTTCATCACGCTGCCCGTCTTTTTAATTTTGTCAGGAAGTTATATTTGACAGTGAAGTTCAAATAGTTGATAATTTCGCCTCATGAGATAATTGAAGTTTGAAATTAATCTTTAATGAGACTTTCATCTGAAAACCAGAAGCGTATGCTGAAAATTTTTGAGTTGGGTTTCAAAAAATTTTCGAACGCTTCATTGAAACTTTTTATAGAAGAAGTTGACACCTACCAAAATTATTTTAGACTCTCTTTTGGGACGTTTTGACCAAGAAACTGCGGTTTTTCGGCGCGCGCTGTCTCCTCAAAATTAGTGCAAATTGATACCAAAGGCGTTTTTTTAAACATAGGGTTGGTCGGCTAGAAGTTTATGTCAAAAGGGGAGACTTTGGAAAATCTTGGCAGCTTAAGTTCAACAAGGTTGTCGCTCCCCCTTCCTTCAGAAAGCATCTGCTGCCTACTATGTGTATGTATAAATGGAGATAATTGAAGGAAATAAAACTCGGATGAACTCCAATATTTGGTACACGCATTCTCTGTCAGCGTGGGTTAAATTGGCTTCAAGGTCGAAGACAAGGTGCGATCGAACCGAAAACAAGTTCTAAAAAAAACGGTTGCATATTCTGATTGCTTGAATCCTGGATTTATCTCCGAAGAAGCGCGAGGCGACAGCAATTTTTTGAATTTTCACTTTGAAGAGGAAGTTTATAAGAGCCTTTGAACTAAAAAAAAAAGTTTTTTTTTGTCCTTCCTCGTGCATAAATTTTTTTTCAATAGGTAAACTTTCATTGATGCAAAAAACGTAAGTTATAGTTTTTCGAAATCTCACAACAAGAAACTTCAGACATAGTACCGAAAGTTAAACTAATTTTAAATTATTTTGAAGAGTATAGAAAACATTAAAAATCTCTACAATAGCACCAAATCTACAAAAAAAACATAATAACAAAACATGAAGACAGTCATGAGACCGAAACAAAATTAATTTAAAATTGTTGTGAGAAAGTTATGATATCAAGTCAACCAATTTTACAGCAGGCCCAAAACCAACCGCACAGAAAGTAAGTCTTGAAAAGAAGCATTATGAACTACCTATTCACACCATACCCAATCTGTTCTCTTAAGGAGTCACAGAGATACGGATCATAGATTATGTTGTTGAACTTGCCAAATGAAAACTAAGCTGTGCGAAAAAAAGAATACTGAAAATAGCCACAAAAAGTCAATGTAGAAAAACACGATTTTTGGATCCGCCTTGTCAAACATCCGAAGTTGTGAGATATCTTCATAATAATGTGACGTTAAGTATTTGTTAACACAAGATATAGTTCAGTTAGCTGATTCCAATTTAGCCGACTCTCAATAACCAGCTCTAATTTTATTTTTGTGACCTACCTTCTATGGCAAGCTTTCAATACGTTGGAGCGACTGCGGCGTTCACTGTTAATTCGACCAATACAGCATCTCTTAAGCAAACCTTAGAAATCGAATAATTGCCCTATTTTTTGAATAATGTCAAATACTTGCCCTAGTAAAGCTGTTTTTCGGATGTTGTAGCTTTTTTGATTTTCGAATGTTTGACATACCAGCACAGTAACCGCAATTTTCATTTGAAAAAACGAAAATGAAATGCAAATTGTAGCAAATGCTGCTTGCTTAAATATTGCAAGGTGTAAAGAACTGGTAAACGATTTATATTAACAATTTTTCCGTCCCGGTCTAGATTATCTACAAATATAAAATAAAAAATTTGATAGTTTTTCTATTGAGTCGTAAAGCGCTGATCCGACAAAACCAAAATCCTGGAAAGCTTTTCCCGAATTTGTACAGCTTGTGTTTGACGCTACTGATTCAACAAATCAAAATAAACATATACAAATACATATACATTTGCTTCCGATTAATTTTGTCCTGTTCTGGGCTTTTGAAAAGTAAATTGCCAATTTGGTCATGTTCTTGACTAAATTATGCTAGCTTTGAAGAATTTATTCATAATGCTGAGAATGTACCACGAGTTATTTTTGTGTGACAAATTATCCCGCACAAAACAATCATTCCAAATTGAAATGAGGCTAGCTAATCGGTCGTATTTATTTCGTACAACTCAAATTTGATTTTTGAAATTGTAAAACGATAGATTTTCAATATTTTTTTTTCCCAAAAACTATTCAATATGGATTAAGGGGCAGTCGGAACATTCAGAGCTTTGCCTTGCTATACGAGCTGTCTCTTTTATGTGTTTGTTACTTATTTCAAATATACTCTGATTGAATTTTTGGAAATTGAGTTGTGGTAATACCAAATTTAATGAGGACAGTATTTACTGAGTCTGAGTTCTATCGCTAAATTATCGAGACTATAACTTTTCTTCACCAAGAAAACTATCTAAAAATTATTTCATAACGCTATTTAAGACTGGAAATTTGTATAAGCAAATCGAAATCTGAATTTTACAAAATGGCAATTTAAATTTCGAAAAAATAATACGATGCGGTAGAAAGATCTATATTTAGCACCTTTCATGCTACAAAGTTGCATGTAAGTATTGTGTACTTCTTATTTGAAATATGTGAATTAGAAAAACATCACAGAAAAAATCTTATTAATTGTCCTCAACTTGAAGAAAAAAAACATTTTTTTTGAAAACTTCAACAGAGATGAAAAAACATTGACAAATATAAATTGGAGTTGGAAAAACTTCAAAGTGAAACCTATTAGTTTTCAACAATAAAAATTAAAACAACCTTATATTCTCAACAAAAAGAAATAAAATTTTGATTAAAAAACGGTAATTGGAAAAACAGCAATAGAAAAGATCCAAAATAAGTTATTGTAAACCTTAAAAAATTACCCTCCGAAAATTAGCTTTCAAGAAAAAAATTTGCCAAAAAGAAACAGAGAGACTGTTTTCTTTTCCATTTCTTTACAGACAAATAAATGTTTTGTTTGTTGATTTCTTTGAGCTTATATATAGAAAAAAAAACAGCTTAAGCAGCATACATGTTGTGGAAAAGGTTGAGAGAAAAAAGATCAAAATAAAAATAAGCAAGAGTTTAAATCTGCTACTTTGACACAAGTAGTGCTAGAAAGACCACGCATTGAAAAAATTTTAATTCAAATCCGTATCAAAAGAATTCCGAAAACAACTTCTCAACAGCATCATATTCGCAACAATTGAAGAAGATTAATAGACCAGAGTTTAAGCAGTCTGAAACTCGAGTAACTCTTAAACCGAAAAAAAGCGACTTAGAGAAGAAGAATTTCCGCACTCGCCCGCTATCTATAAAAATATCAACAACTAACAAACAGATTTAGACCACCTTGAATTGGCCATTTGAAGTGAAAAAGATAGCTGGTTGCTGCACATGGAAATTTCCGATTCCAGTTATATTGCTAAAAAATGAAAAACTTCAAAATGAGATTTTTGAGCGAAAAAGCCTTGACTAGACTCAAATTAACTACCACCTGTACTGCAATAAGACCTGTACACTGATGCTGGTTGAATGAACATGAACTGAGGCTGGTAGCCATTCGCATCTCATAAAATATGGCTCAGAACTGAACAAACATTGTTTTCCACAAGACAGAGAGCTGAATAGTCATATGAACCAATTATTGTTCCGACTTTCGAAGAAAACGGAATATTTATGCTCGGTGTGGTTTTTTGATTCAGTCAATTTTCACCGCTCAAAAAAATAATTTTCAACAAAAATTTTTTATTCATCATTGAAGATATCGACTTCCTGAGTTCAAATGTAAAAAGATATTTCAACTCCGTTTATTTTTTTTGTAAAAATATGGGGGTTTGAGAATTGCCAAATTTTCCATGTTATGGACTAGATTATGCGCGTTTTGAAGCGTTTATTCATAATGCTAAGAGCGTAACGCGAATTATTTATTCGTGGCGAATTATCCCGCACAACAAAATCGTTCCATTTTGAATTGAGGCTAGCTAATTGGTCGTATTAATTTTGTACGAATCAAAATTTTACACTTAGATATTGTCCAAATTGTATATGTTTTCAATATTTTTTTCCACAAAAACCATTCGATATGAATTAAGGGACAGTCGGAACAATCAGGGCTTTGCCCTGATATACGAGCAGTCTTGTTGGTAATTAACCTTAGCTCGCTGCAAAACAAAATTTGTTTACATGCGCAATTTTATACTTGAATACTTACATGCATCCTTTACTGTTCCGGTTTTCGTAAAAAAAGGAATGTTATGCCCGCACTGTTGCGATAGATAATAATCAATTAAATTGTCATTTTATAGTCAGTATCTATAAAACTGCAAAAAAATCGATTAAGTCCATTAAAAATGGATTATAATCATAATATTTTTTAAATCATTATAATCCATTATAATAGATTATAATTGATTATAATGTGTTTTTGAGAAGAAATTATGAGTTTTGCAAGTTTTTTTTCAAAGTTATCCCGTTTCCTGTTTCGCGCAGTTGCTACTTTTTACGTTTCATAAACTTTTACTTTTCGCGTAAAATTTTGTTTATTTAAGTTTTTTCTACTTTTTCTATACTGCGTAAGTTCCAACGCCTCTATAAACAACCCCTTCCTCAGTTTACCCCCTCCCCCCACCCAGTTTACCCCTCCTCAGTTCATCCCCCCATCGAATAGAAAAAAAGTTCTTTGAATTTTTTCTATTTTTTTTTTCAAAAAGTTTTTGTATTTATTTTTCGAGGAAAACTGTTGTCAAATATATCTAAATTTAGTCTATCTAGCAAAACAATTAATTAAGTTCTGTTTATTTTGCGATTACACATTTTTAATCTGATTTTAAGTTACTTTTTCCATTTTAATTTTGGTCGGGACATTCTGTTTAACTTGCACAGCAACGAGCTATCGGTGTTTCTTTTGAGCCCGGCTGAGACGATCAGACTATTTACTTTTGGCATGTACGAAGACATAACATAAACTCTATGCCAACTGCACACGACTGTAGTAGACTGAGATTGATTGCGATTTAATTATTAAGCCAGTTGAATTTACCACTCTTAACTAATTTGCCCAAAAAATGTAATAAAACATCTGTGGTTTTTTTTTGGTTCTACACCCACTAAATATCCATATACGAAAATGAAAACTTTTTTTTTA